AATATTTAATAAATTTTAACAAATTAAGAAACGTACATCCCACGATTTGTTGTAATAAAGTATCTATATTATATACTGAAGTATTTTATTAGCATCCGTTTCATTCTTCCTACGTACTTTAGACTAAAGTATCTACACATTTTTTATCACTGTTTTGCACTGATTGTCAGTTTTCTAACTCATAACTTAAAGCGTATCTTTTGTATACAATAAAACATAAAACTATCATTTCTTACTAATGATTAGATACAGTGAAACTTAATATGAGATAGATCTCTGTAAGTATGAGATTATTATTTTTATTTTTTTGTTTTCAGTCATAAAAAAATATAACTTTTTATACTTTTAATGAGTTAAATAACTTTTATATATTAAATGGTGAAATACATTTGAAACAAAACAGTTTGCACTTTCATTAGATATCTATATCTATTAATGTAGCAGATTTTCAAAACTTTCTAAATAATATTTTAATATTATGTCATTATTTGGGTAGGTATGTCTATCTATCTACATAATTTAGTTTTGAATTTTAGATTTCCATATTTTATAGCCTTAGAAATAATTGACCAGTGGGTCCATAATATTATTTATATCTCACAAATAAATATCAAAGTTAGATAAATAATATTTTACAAACGATTCCTAGACTATAGCAGTAGGTATAGCATTATTGATTTGACAGTAAATTTATTATACGAATGAAACAATAGCTGTTACAATAGCATCGTAACATGAATCTATGTTTTGTGTTTCAATATTTAAATCGATATTAGTAAAAATTTAAGCTATAGGTACTAGAAATGTGAAATAACGATCAACTAAAAAATAAATTTAAGACATTTACAATTGATAATGATCGTTGATCAATGTATATTATCGATAATAAATCATAGACACTTTAAGATAATAATTATATTTTACACTTCGTAAATATATATTGCCCGAAGATATAATATGTTTAAAAAAAAAAAGGTGGACAAGTAGGTAACCGATTTGCTGTACAGTTAATAATAAATACAATTTGAATTTGATGATAAATTATTGTATAAAATTAATTTTCATTTATTGAAAATCGATTTTGAGCGAAAACGGTCTGTCAGCACTCAGCCTTTATTACTAAATTTGTTTTATGATATACAATTTGTATTGCTATTAGACTAATTTACTTTACAATAAGATATTAGTGTAGGTAATACAGTAGGCTAGATTCATTTTTACCCGAAAATATTGCATTTATTATTTTATTAATATTTAATAATTACTACAATGTATATATTATTATATTTATATTTTATAATTTATTATTATTGTTATTAACTTTTGAGTCAATACCGACTAACCACACACCGGTGTTAACATTTATGTATTTTATCTCTAATTATTCTTAACTAAGTATAAGAGCATATGCATTTTTATTGAATATTTTGACTAAAGATATAATATTATGTTACAAAAATGCCTTTTCTTTCTAATTTTTTTAAATGTATTCATCAAAAAAATTATTATCATTAATTTAGGAAAAATAAAATAATTAATTTGGAGTAAATCAAGTTTGTGGTATTTATACCTACATTTGTTTTTTTTTAATTTTTATAATATGTAGTATATGTATTCATAATTTTAAAAGAGTTAYAAAGATATAAAAATTAAAAATTAAACTAGACTTAATTTTTCGAAACCTAGTCACAACTAGGATTCTGATTTTTGAACACACGTTAGGAAAATATGTACCTAATGAAGTTTAAAGCTGTAAAAAATTGTGAAATTATTTTAACTATAAACTAAAATAACAATAAAAAGTAAGTATTTATAATATATATTTAAATTAAATTAAAATTACTTAAATAATTTTTTAAGAATTAAAAAAAAAAATTGTGCATTAATTGGTAATATAATATTATCATCATTCATTACTTATTGATCTACATAAGCGCTGAATACTCGTATGTTGTTTTTAAGCAATATAATTACACAGAAAAATAAGACATTTAAAATACAAATTCTGCTGTATTTAAATAATAATAATTATAAGACTATTGTCTGAAGCGGTTAAACGGTACTTAGTCATTTGGTAATAATATGATAAAAATAGAAGTACCGTTCATTGTCAATCCGTCAATACATATTACAATTTGCAACCAGTTATTGGCTGCAGCTAAAATAAACAGTTTATATAGGTTTTTTAAATCTGCTTATTATTGTGCATCAGTAGTAGAACTGTATATTACAGTATCTACTGTATAGCTTGAGTAATTACAATATTTAAACTACTACCTAATTTATTTATTAATTTTTGAAAATTATTTTAATTTAAAAGTTAATGATTAGTATACATTTTTTTYCAATTTTTTTTTCAAAACGTTTAGCTATTGATAAAAACGATAGAAACTTAGTGAGAACCATTAGTTTCGAAAATTACAATAATAAGCAGTATACATTTATAAATTGCCTTAACTTATCATTAGGCATTTTTCTTTACACGCATACACTATATAGGTACATCTATCCAACCAAAAAATTGTATAATACAAGTATCATCAGTGCATCATACGTACATGGATACATACATCAATACATGCTCATAGATTACTAAAGCAGTTATAATTAAAATAATCTAAAAACCGAAACCATCCAAGCAATGAAAACGTAAGTATTAAGTAATAAAGTGAAAAAGTTTTTTCCAAAAATTTAAATCACATTTGTTTATAGAAGTAGAAATGATTGGTTGCAACTTGCAATGGTGAATCATTTTTTATGATATTAATACCTATTGTTGTAAAACTCCTTACAGAAGAAAGTGGTTTAACAAGTAACAATGGATAACATAAAGTAATAATGTTACAATATATTTATAAGTGTTACTTTTTACACAGGGTATTTACATATTTGTTTGGAATAAACGAGTTTACCATTTCACGAAAACTTTTATTCGATTTTATGATAAAACCTTGTAATAGTTGTAAATAGGTATACCTATATTTTATTATTACTATACTCATAAAATTCTATTTACCAGCAATCTACCACTAATGCATTATATTTATTACAGAAATCATGGACAAAGCATGGTCGTAAAATAGTAAGACACTTGGCAACATATCTTTACACAAGTAACCTCTTACCTCATTACTATAATTGTATGTAAAATGAACACAACATTCTAACTAAAATATAAATAAACATTTAAGTTTAATCTAATAAATAATTCCATAAAATAGAACAAACTGGAATTATTTTTAAGCTGCCATTTTTATTGTTTTATTATTGTAATTCATCTGTTAAGTCAAAAAAAGTATGTATATTGTATACCTAAATTCGTGATTACCTCAACATTATTAAAACTTCAAAGTTAATATACATTGAATTTTTATTTTTTTATAAAGTATTGAACGAAACTGTTAACTAGCTACTATAAATTACCAATTACTGCCCTGAGATCACTTGAGTATTTGAGTTTAATTGGCCTCTCTCCAATCAATACTAGCTGATATAACAGGTGTCATGTTTTATACATATAGCACCAAGTAGGTAAATTAATTATTAAATTATTTATTAATTATTTGTTATTAATCATAATTTTGATTTTCATTGTTCCATGATTAGAATTTTACATTACAATGACAAATATCTATCTGGCGTCATCTTAATCATACTCGTAGTTGTGAGTTGAAAAAATGTTTACTTGTATTTTTAGATTATTTCTTCATGTTGTATACGTTTGTCTCTGCGCTATTTAAATAAAAATAAAATAATTTTGGTAAGAAATAGGACATAAGAGCTTCTCTTGCTCGTTTGATTTATAAATATACTAAATTATATATTATTATGACTATAGATAAGTAACCTAATAAAACTAAATCTAGAAGTTTTCCAAAAAACTGTACCTTCACATGTATTTTACTTATGAAATAACAATACTTACATCATCTCACAAATATCTATATAGGTATTTTATCTGTTAAATAATAATATCTAAAAGCCCATGATATTTTTGTATTTTTTTTTTTTATATGTATAAAATGTACTTATTATTTAAAATAAGACCGAAAAATATATTTATGTACAACTATAAGTTTAATAAAAACAATTAATTTGCAAATATCATTATTCTGAATTATAAAACTTACACCGTTTATGTTTATACTACATAGTACATATATTATCACATATGGATGCGCGATGAATTCATCATATTTTATTGTATTTAAAAACATATCGCAATGTTTAATATCAGTTGACAAATTAAATCATGTACCTACCTATCTAGTATTATAAATATCATTCCTTAGAAATTAGAATGTCTAACACTACCTACAATTTAACAATGAACAATGTATCGTAAACACGTGTCTCTTACAATGTAGTGTAATACTTTCATAATTACGTATAGTATACGAGTAGGTACAATAGGTATATATAAACATAAGTTTTCTAGTATATTATGGGTACTTACTTATTAAAATTAAAAAAAAGTACACAAATTATGTTTTTTTTTAATTATAAATTATAATGGCTGTGATGAAAATTATTTATATTTAATTATAAAAAAAATGTCTTATAGTACCTACGACTAAAGTTAGGCGTTGTTCAAAATCAAATGCTAGTTTATTAATTCAAAAATATTTAATTGAGATTATATTATACCTATATAATATATTTTACGATCTCATTAAAACCTTATTTTGTTTGTTTTATGTATACTCCATTTTAAAAAGGCATTCCTTTAAATAACCAGAGGCACTCAATATTCTCGAACTCGTTTGACAAGATACATATAATTTAAGATAAATAATATTTGAGCCAAATACTATTATTTTTATCAACCTATAAAATGCGTCGATGAAACTTTGATTGATTAACAGTTATTGGCGGGGGAAATCGTAGAAAGAAGAACAGTTTATTATAAACTAACCAAGTAGTCAGTGGATAGACATTGTTCGTTATCACGGTAGTTGGTTAAATATTAAATAACTAACCAATCGTTGAAGTCTCTCAGAATGGCACATAATACCAGGTAAATAATAGGTAGTAAACGCCTACATACAATTATCATAATACTATTTTATTAACATCAACTAATTATACATTTATATATTTTTATAGTAATTATAAATAATAGGTAATATTAAAATTCTTCAAGTATTTCTAATGTTTATATATAATATATATACTGCATAATTGATCGATTTTATTTAAAAATAAGTAAAAAACTATTAAATTGATTCTTATTTCTATACCATTTTTCGAATTATACAATTAATTATTAACTATTATTCAAATTATAAGCTGTTGTTTGAAATTACTGTATACACTTTATACTTATTTGAATAAATTACATGAGTAATTAATATTATACCTAATACATGTAATTTAATATCTATTTTATTTATAAATTAAAAATATAGACAATATAGTACTATGTATGTATAAGAAGTACATTTTTGTTTACATTCAAGATTCAACACCTATTCCAAATAAAATTAACTGTGATGATAAATTGAAAGTGTTAACACAAAGGAAGATACTCAGAAAATATTCTAATTTTATATTATTACATATTTAATGTAACCTCATATTATATCAGTACAGTTTTTACTGTCAATAAATAAAATATAACAAGTTTAAAACATAAATAGTTTAAACTGTACTGCTCTTATGGTCAAAAAGATCTATTGAAATTTCAGGTATGTTTTTAGAAGGCCTTGACCTGCAATGTATGGTCTTGAATCTTAGTTGGAAATCATTTTGTATTCATCACAGTTTGGAAGTTTATGGTCCCAAATATAAAGAGTATTATATTATCTTAGCTTAAACTGTTTAGAGAATAAGAATATTATTTAAAATTCTGCTCAGTTATGAAAACTACTTATACAATTTCTATTTCTCTTCATTTATATCATATATATTATCATATTATTATACTATTTAGGACTACTTAACTACTTTTTCTACTCTTTAATAAGTTATAGGGAAAGTGATGAACTTACGCATTTTACATTTAGTTTTGTAAAATGTAACGTGATTGTAACCTTAGAAAATGTAATTTAAATTATTAATTTATAAATATATTCATATTTTGTGAAAATGTTATTACACCAGAGTAATTCTTCATTTTTTTTTTTTTATAGTTTGTAATCTATATAAATTTTAAAATTAAATATAATATATTAATATGACACATATACTAAATTATAATAATTTATACTTTAGTAATGGTTTTTGTTCGTCTTAAAYAAACCGCATTACAATAAAATATTACAATCGAAAATAAGGTGTCATCTTTAGGGAAGTTTATCAACATATGAATAGAAAAATTCTAATTAGCGATGTCCTATAATTTGCAAATACTTTGTAGGTCAGTTCAGTTTCAGGTCATAGAACTTTACCATGCATATATATATATATAGATATTGTTCTTCACAATTAAAGTTACGGTACTCCAAGTACGTGTCCTACGAATTGCACTGTATATAATGAATACTAATGTATGTCAACCAGAGCAGGCGTGTCTTGAGCGAATTTATTTATTATTATTATTATAATTATTTTTTTTTTTTGACGTTACAAGAACAGAGTCAAAATAGTGACTCATATATATCCTATATGTACCAATATCTCACGAAGATGCTAAACTGTGAAACAGCTAAACACTTTGTTGCTGAACGTCTAGCGACTTGTTACTTCCGCATTGATCACACGGGTAGACTTGTTTTTTCTGTTTTAGGTCCATCATCGTTATGTTATTCCTTATAACTATTATATGCATTGCGACCTCTTTGCCGGCCTCAATGAACATGCCACTAGTAGACCCAGGTAAGCCAATCAGACTTATAAATATATATATTTTTTTTAAATGTTTTTAAGGTAAATTGTAAATATTCAATAACAATATTTAGAAAACATGACTTGACTCAATCTGAAGTTTGAAATATAGAAATATTATTTATAAACTATAAACATCAAATAAGTCAAATATCTGATGATTAAATTAATTGTTTAATAAATAATATACCTAAAATGGAATAACTAATTTGTCAAGATAATACATTTTTGACTTTTTTATATACAAGGTGTAACAGATAGAACTGATTTTCGGTATAACTTTGGATTAAATTAATATATTTTATCATTTTTTTTTTCATTAAGTGATCTTAGCACTACATGTATAATAAATTATTTTTATGTTTACTTTTTAGTACTGAAAATGAAAAAAATGAAATTTAATAAAAAATTTAATTTGATAAATTCAAAATATCCTATTTGTGAATCTGATTATAAGAACAATTTTTATGGTAAAAATATTTATCTAAGTCAAGTAGTTTATTTTTAAGAATATTTTTTTGGTTAAATTAATTTGGAACATAATACTTTTTAAAAAATATGATTTTTGATAATTTTCTAACATGAGTATATTTCTTAAATTATTTATTTATCATATAAAATTAACGAGTTTTGGCATACGTTTAATTTGCATAACTTTTTTTTTTGTCAGATCTTTCTATTACACCCTGTATATATAAGTTACATTTAATATGTATTACGACTTAAAATKTTTTACATGAGTCAATTTTTTTAGTATATTTATACATACTTTCATATTGTAGTAAAGTATACGGAACAATGTAATAACATTTAACTTTATTGGGGTATTATACATTACACTAAAAAAATTAGTTAAATGAACATATATATGATACAAAAATTAGTAGTTTTATCTACCAGCTATCTGTATTTTGTATATCATATTAATAAATCTACATTTACGTTAAACTGCATGATTTAATTACTATTTTTTTTTCTTTATTGTTATTATTTTGTTTAAAGGGCTCTTTGTAATATCGGGCGTCAAAACTTGTGGGAACACTCTTGGTTATTGTCTTCTGGGTAGTGATTGCACCATGGACGATGATTTTTTGCCAGATTCAACTGGTAACTGTGACGGTTTAAAACGTGCATTTACTCCGAGTGCTCCTTTTACCTGTTGTAAGTTTAACCAAAGATCTCCGCAATCAAAGACACCGATAATAGAACCCAATATAAAAAAGGCAACTACCGCCGTAGTTAAGGATAAATTGGGAAGAAACACAAGGGAAAATATAGAATCTTCACTAATGGACAATGATCAATTGGAAAAACTAAGCGAGATTCAGTTAGTGGTAAAAAAAATTATTGAACAAATTATAAATGAAACAGCAAATAATATTAAATCAAAAGAAACTTTATCAAATACTGAAACAAAAATGGAAGAAAATACTATTAGAAATAGTATAAATGATGAACAACCAACAACGAACGATATTGTTGAAATAAAAGATACTACCTTGGATCCTATGGTAAATCCAGAAGAAACATTAGATGAAGAATATTTGAAAAAAGATATGCCTTTAGATGAAAAAAATGATAACGATAAAATTACATCTGACTCAACTGAATCAGAGACGGAAGAACCAACCATCGATGACGAGTTTAAAATTGAAAAACGTATTTGTCAAAAATCCTGTAAAAGTGAAATAATTTTTCTTGTTGATAAAAAACCAATGTGTTATGGAACACTTTTAGATGACATATGGATACTTACTTCTGCAACATGTGCTTCCAGGTAAAATTACATGAAATATCAGAATCTTAATATCATAAAAATAAATACAATGTATTATAATTAATTATCAGTCAAACTAAAAAAATTATTAGAAAAATATCCACCTAAATTAATAGTAATTTCCAGAGCATGTATTAAAAACTATTAAAAAAGCATATTTATATAAACTCAATTAAAATAGTAAACTAGGCATTAAAATATACTACTTCTGTAAATCCTAATTTAATGTCAGAATAATATGCATTTATAAAAAAAAGCAAGTGAAATAATAGTTATGATGATCAATAATTAATAATCCTGTATTCAAAAAAATAAAAATTTTAAAATTGTTATCAATAGATTACTGGTATAAATTGATTATTGAGATATAAAAATTGTATGTAAGTTATAAAAGTAAGTCAGAAATTTTAACACAACATTTAATCTTAAATAAAAATTATAAAAGTTATAATTTATGTGTTAAAATTTAATCATGAACGGTTTTCTATAATTTAAATTGTAATACCTCGCATAAAAATAAAATTAATATATCTCTACTTTTTATTTCTATATTTAGATAATCTAAATACTTGATAATGCATGTTAATAAAATATCAAAATCCAAAACAGGTATAGACAATTCCATATATTTTTTTATGACAGGTATATTTTTCATATAAATTGTCATTTTAAATTCAGGTTAGATAAATCAGGTATAAGAAAAGTGACAGTAAGTCGAAAAGACCTAGTGGGAGCGACATTGAATATTTCGAACATATTAGTGCACGAGAACTTCAAATCACCAGTTTCTAAAAGCGCACCAGAAAACAACGATTTAGGTAAGTAGCGTTATTTAAATATACTTTTGTCAGTATTTAACTAATTTTATCTGAAATATTATTTAGCTCTAGCAAGTTTGACTGTTCCACTCAAGGATCAAGCCTGTACTCCGTGTTTCAGCCAAAAAACATCTATTATGAATGAAGTATGCAAGACTTATCAAAACATCAATCATAAGAATACAGTGAAATCATGTTTGTATACATTTAAATATTAAAAGGAAAAATTGTGACTGTATGATAAATTTAATTTTAGCCGAAAACTGTGAAGGTCGTGTACAATTACAAAAGTTGATTAGCAATCCATATATAATACTRCCGTGCAATCATTGGAGGATGCAATACAATGTGAGTATATGTGTATTTAGCTACACGAGGTGTCCACATTTTTTTTGTTCATTTAAAATAACAGTTGGTTAAACAATATTAATTAATTAATTATAGTCTAGCAATTAAAAATATGAAGTTGAATTAATAGTTAATGTATGTTATGTATGTTATAAATCTTAGATTGTACATTTTAATAATAAATAATATTACACACACGAAAAAAAAATGACAAATATAATAATCATTAACCACTGCAAATTTCATTAAGTTCTATTGTAGTATTATCGAAGAAATATAAAAAAAAATGGGGATTACTTTTAATTTATTTGGTACTTACGAAGTTACGACCTACCTATACAATGTTTTAAATCCATAAAAGTTTAATGAGAAAACTATTATGGGTGTATAAATATTAGAACTTCTAACTATGAAACGAAGTAGAGAAAGTGACAAGCAATACAAAATATTTTTTATTTTTTAATTTTTTTTTATTAATTGTTTAAGGCATCAACTGCATGGTTATTAGCCGGCGTTACATAATACAAAATATTGTAATAGAAAAATATTCACAAAAGCGTATAAAGATTAATGAATCATTTAGTAAATACTATACAAGGGTGCAGTATAAAATAAATTGAAATTAAATGAAATAATTATTATTAATGTGTCTATCTGRTATAGAATATTAAAATTAATTATATTTTCAACCATAATCTAATTTGATAAGTTGAAGAAAAATAATATGACTCTTAATTTATTTTTAATTTAATAAAATTTAAAATTTAAAATAATAAGCTCAGACAAAACGAGATATTGAATTTTTTTATGTCTATGTATTATACTAAAGATCAAAAATTTTAAATGGCACATTAAAATAATATTCAGGTGCCATAAGAAACATATATTATATTTTTATGAGTAGAGCTTAAAGAATTATAACAAATACTAAATATAGAATAAATAAAATATTGTAAATATTGACAAACATCGATATTGATGTACCTAAAATATAAAATGATATGCGTGATGTTTTATAATTTATAGCACAAAACAGAATAATTTGTACCCACTTATACTATCACTCTAATCGATATTATTGTTCTGAACCATACGCTCAGAAAGATATTATATTATTTATATTCTTACTACCTTAGTTGAAATGAAACTGTGTTTGACTTTTGCAGCAAGAAGGGCGACTGGGAAGCAGCTTGTGGTGTGACGGTAAACTGGCTGGCGTCCAAACTGGCGTTGGCGTAGGGTCGTTGATTTATACGCCAGTGAATGAGTACGCCATGTGGATATCCGATAACAAGAGGTAAAAACTTGTTATTGATTWCCGGGTAGCGAATGTGCTTGGGATGGAAAAATCCCAACATCATATGTATTTGAATTACACATGTCATATTATAAACACTGCCATAAGCTTGAACTGAAATAGCATAACTTGATTTTAAAATTTTTATTTTCATATAACCGATAGATACTGTAAGTTGTAAGATAAAAATATCAAGATGTCTGATTAGACAAGAATATCATGAGGATAAATAATTTATTTGATATCACTAACTTCAAACGGAACATTTTAGATACACAAACATTTTAATCTCATGAAATGAAAGTAGTATTATACCACGTTAAGTATAGGTTAGGTGAATATAAATTTATTCAAAAATGAATATATTTTTATCTACGTTACGTCTTTCTAAAAAAATCAACAAATATTTTTTTCTCAATATTGTTTATAAATTATGAACACAAATAATAATTAGATAGTTAGGAATTCAAAACTAAAATATCGAAAAAATAATGTAATAATAGAACTCAAATATCCTTAATTTTCACCAATAAACATTTTCAGGATTGAAGAAAGAAGATAAACAAACAAATTGATCAGACGAAGATCTTGTATATTAAAAGACTGTGCAATTACTAAAATATTAAATTAATTTTTATCTATTGTATATGACTATTGATAAGTTCTTAAATTATATATTAATAATTATTTTATATAATTTTATAAATTAATTTTAAGACAACGAACATTCAAAACAAAACGATTTTTTTTTTTAATCGAATTTAACTCCTATTTCTGTTGCCTGGGGGTTACAAAATTATTTTAAAAGCGTCAAAACTAACAAAAGATTATTTATATTATAAAGGGGTATAAAATGTTTTTTAAGTGTTATAACTTGTCTACACAATAAGATCATTTTTTTTTTAATAACTGGTAGGTATATTACACCTGGCTGGTTTATATTATCGGAGATGTTTTCGTTCTATTCAACATTGGTTTTATTACCTGACAAAGAATATTATGGGGTTGGATACAAGGTCACTAACAAAGAGAACGATGAACGTTCGTTAGCCTTATGTCGCCTATAATGATGTTTTAAAAAAATTATATTTTCATTATTTTAGAATAATACGAAACTACATTTTTCTTTGTATTAAACTCAACTTTAAAATAGCTTGGAAAAATAATAACCATGGAATTTCAAACTCAAAATTATATTTTTGTGCTTATCGAAATTTATAATCAAGTATATTTTCACAATTCGAATTAAAATTATTTGTGCAATATACAACATTTTTATTTTTTATACATTTTTTTTTTTTGTATATATATTATATATTTATCTCGGACCATTGTTAGGATAGTTTTCATTGATTAGAAAATGTGTAATTGCATCCTCAGAAGTATATAATTTATATTAGTTTATTAATTATTGTATTTATAATTTTCATGGAATATTTTTGTTGTATTTCATTTTATTTTAATTATATAATTGGCTATGGCTCTATTATGAAAAATATTTATATTAAACATATTATGAATATTTCATATTATTCGAATGCTTTACAAATATGTATAAATATTATAATGTGGAAGAATCGTTACTCACAAGTGTTGAAGTGTATCTACATTTTTCAATTTTTCATAATAATATTGGTTTAATTTTATATCGCTAGCAATGTACAAATAAATAGGTAACGTAAAATGTACCTATTTATAATTTTGAAATAAATATGTAAATTTAAAAACATATCAATGAGTGTGATTTGGATTTTTTTATCTTTTATGGAATTTGTTTTGATTTAATTAACATTTTTTTTTCATATACATACAAGTTGTAACAGATAGGACTGACTTTTAGAATAACTTTTGTTCAAATTAATATTTTTTATTTATTTTTTTTATTATTTTTTTTTTCATTAAGTAGTCGTAGTGCTACAATACATTTTTTTATGTTTATATTTTAGTATTGAAAAAAAAATTTAATTTGATGAATTACAAATAGACTATTTGTGAATCTGTTATAAGAATAATTTTAAGGTTAAAAGATTTATCGAAGTAAAGTAGCTTATTTTTTAGAATTTTTTTTTAAATTCAATATTTTTTTGGTTAAATTAATGTAGAACGTAATAACTTTTTAAAAAATATGATTTTTAAGAATTTGCTGACATGAGTATATTTCTTAAATTATTTACTTAACATATAATATCAACAATTTTTGTTATACGTTTCATTAGCATAATTATTTTTTTTTGACAGGTTTTTCTGTTACACCCTGTATATATATATTATATATATAGCATATATTTTTAAATGCCTTACTATAAATAAATGACTATACTTATTATTTAAAATATACATTGGTCATTTGTCAGTCTACTATCTTTTTTTCATATCTTTTGGTTTAGGTTATGTTAAGTTGCTTATTATTACAATTTAAATATTATATGTGTTATACAATAGAGTAATTATAAAAGCAAGAGTTGATGATTAAATTAATTATGTAAAATATAACAGAAATTCAGAAGACATTTTAAATTGATTAAAATAAAACCAGTTAAACCAGTTCAACACAAAAAAGGATATACAAAATTTACAATGATATTTTAATATTACTGAATCTTTGATTAAAAATCCTAACTACATAAATCCATATTTTCATTTACCTATTATGTATAATATATTAATATATTGTTATTTATAACTATATATCTAAATTTACGTAGATGCCTATTATGGACTTTTATTATTTTTCGTTAAATCGCCACACGAGAGCAACTTTTTGCATATTGCTTACTCTTACACATACTATAATACCTATATTATTATATTTTTACTTTCTAATAGGAAAACGAATAAACCTATTTTATTTATTTCAACTTTAAATTWTTACATTTTACATTTAGTGTTATTTAACAATAACAACTTGAACACCTAACATTTGATAGAGATGTACTAATAATTATATGATGGTGGCGTGACTAAAAATTTTAAAATAATGTTAGTTAAATAAAAATGGTTTTAATTATTACTAGCTACTSGAAGTTTGTACAATTACTTTTTCTAATTTATGGTTTCCTAGTTCAAAAAATTGACTTAATTGTAAATCAATTTAAAATATCTGTATTATATATACGCAATTAAATTTAAAATCTATTAGTCTTTAAATGTAATTAAAATAATTAACTAATAAATATATCCATATATTTTATACCTGCACATTTTAACTCRTATTTATATCATAAGTACTAAATTAAGTATTGATCACATACTTTTAATTTATGTATTATAAATATAAACTACAAGTAGTAATTAGTAAGTACCTTTGCTTGTTTCCAAACGTTACTCAATGAATTATCTAAGAAGGAAAAAGAAAGTTATATTTGTTTTAATAATATGTCTAGGTACAATAATAAAATAATAATCGATGTAATATATACGTATATGCGTTTAGCGTACACAGTAAATATGGAAAGTGAGCATGTGTCCTTAAGTGTAATTTATGTTAGTCATAAGAATAGACCACTCTAGCTGATCACTTCATCTCTCATCAACAGACCTTAATAGAACAGATATTATTCAGAAATTATCAATACCAGAATAATTTTGTTACATCTATTTTAAAAATATTTCTAAAATATAAATATTATACATACATTTTTAGAAGCAACAATAGAGGAAACATTTCTCATTAAAAATACATCGGTAAAACTGTTGAAAAAACAGAAGATCATAATAACGCAAACGTTGAATTGTGATAATTCATAAGTCATAACTATTAACTAGATATCTAGATACGTTATATACATTTTATGAAATTCAAAATGTTGAAATAAAAATAATATACATGAAATATACTTAAAAATCACTTATCAGACATTGTGATGCGTCATATTTTATCACGTTAAATAAAGAAACTATTAAAGTCATTGCATTTGATCAAATGCCGATGGTCCTTATAAATGCACTTAAAGCTGCAGTAGGTAATCAGTGACCATAAAAACATTAAAAACAGTTCAAGTCTTGTTCAAAACAATACTTTCCCATGATATGTTTTTTATCGCATTTGTTTTGACCGTTTTTCAGACACCACCGAAAACTTCGAAACTMGAATACCGCCGATAACTTTAAAACTAAAACACCACTGAGAACTTAAAATCGAAAACACCTATACCTACCTCAGGTGCTGTGACTGCAGTTGTCTGCGAAAGTAGTAAGTAGCTAAATTAGTAGTAATATTATACTGTATTTTCACAAAAATAATCGACAACGCTTTCAACGTATAATGTATATATACGCATACCTATACATATATGATACTATACATTTTTATCACTATTGTTATAACTATTATCATCATTATTGCTATATTCTACTGCAATAATATCATAACTATATTGTTGTTATGATAATAGCAACGTAGTCATGTACGGTTCGTGCGGTGTGTGACGTCACCTTCGGCGTCCTTGCCCACGGTCGTCCGGGGGATTCACTTTCTTTCGAGCCGGCGCTCACAGACACAAGCGACGACGTCGACAACGACGACGAGGCGCACACGCCCGAGATCGGACGCGACTCTCTCTCCTTCT